CCATTTATTCCATGTTAATATACTATTAGGAAAAGCAGTTGCTCAGTCAACATTTTGAAGACACATGTTAATCCAGTAATCTCACCAGGGTTTGGCAAGTTTGCTGAGTGAAGTTGGCTATTCCAAACTTCTTAAATGGTAGAAAATGGGATTTTTGTCCGCAGGGAAGACAGGCCTGTGTAGAATGCGGAAGGTGGCTCAGCTTATAAGCGGGAAAAAAGGACTATTGGAACTTACTGTCCTTAAGAAAAAAACCAGGTCATAAACAGAAGAGATAGAGTGCACCTTCAACCCATGAGGAACAGGGCAGGAAAGGGGATAATTTGTGATTTCACAATCTGAACAACCCTGGGAAAAGGGAGTTCAAGAAGGAGATACATAAGAGCAAAAGCCACCTCCTGTGAACCAACCCTGCTTCAAAAAATGTAGACTTTATAAACCCTGGATTTAGAAAAGTCAGATTTCAAAAAAGTCAGATTCTCAGATAATCTAGTCCACCACTTTGTTTCATTCCTAATTTCTCCACTTGCTTCCAGACTAAGTACTTTATCTGTGCCTTCAATGCACTAAGCCACCAACCCTCTAGGATGAGCCCATTCTAGCCTTCCTAGCCCCAGTTAACTAGAATGGCCTGAATTAAATTCTTCTGAATAAATGCCTAGAGGAAGGTTGTTACCTATTGGTGAAAATAAGCCCAGGCAGATGGTAGCACTGACCCTGACAGAGCAGTGGACTTCAGAAAGAAAGAAATTAGTTTTATAACTTTCCCTCCCATGTTCCAAGCAATGGAGATGATGGCTTGGGAAAATACCTACAGAAGGTGCATTGCATAACAAATAGGCTGTCACGCACTGCTAACTGCTAGGCTAGATACTTGCAACTATGAATATGGTTAATGGGAGTCATAAACATTTGTCTTTGGCTTTAAATCTAAAATAGATGGAGAGAGTAGTAGCACTAGCTAGAGAAACAAACCTGAAACTCAAACAACCCAATTAAAACTCAGATTTTTAAAAAACCATTAAGATCTAGCAAAATGAAATGAACTTTAAAAGAGGAAAGGATTCAGATCAGTTAAGGGCCCCAAATGACAAGTAATTCCATGGAAATCTATTAATTAAAAACCACTGCTCTGTGAAATGACTGCCATTACCATTGAAGGCAGTTAATGTGCCTGTTTGCAATACCTGTGTAAGGTAGAAACGAGCGTGAAAAGCAATTGGCCATCTGTTAAGGACAGGCTACTGTTACTGCTTCCTGGCAAATTTTGGGCCTCAAAAATATAAGCACAAGTTATAACAGAAATGGACCTGTTGCTCAATGTACATAGGAAGTTACCATAATCAAATAATAAAGTTACTTTCTTCCCCTTTTTTTCTTTTAAACTGTATTCTTTTTTTTTTTTTTTTAACTGAGGTAGCACTGGTTTACAACACTGTATATGATTTAGGAATATAGGCTCACACCTCTTCACATGGCTGTTACCACACCATACCCAGTACCAATATACCAATAATTCTCCACCAGAGACCACTGGACCCCTTTCTCCCTTTGCTCAGTAGCCCCTTCTCTCCCCTTCCAGTAGCCTCAATTCTGGAGTCAGATGTCGAGGGTTTGTTTTATTTTAGTTTTGTCTCTTCCATTGTTTCATTGCTTTATATTCCACATGTGAGTGAAATCATCTGGTATTTCTCTTTCTCCTTATGATTGTTTCACTTAGCATAATCCCCTCCAATTGCATCCCTGTTGTCATAATGAAAAAGTTTATTTTTTTTTATAGTTGACTGGTATTCCGTTGAGTATATATACCACCTCGTCTTTATCCATTCATCTGCCATTATGTTGTTTCTATAACTTGGCTACTGTAAATAGTGTTGCAGTATAGCATATATCCCTGTGAATTAGTGACTTTGTGTTCTTCAGACACATAGGTAGGAGTGGAATTGTTGGAACATGTGATCGATATATTTTTAATATTTTGAGAAACTTCACTACCATTTCCCACAGGAGCTGTTCCAGTCTGCGTCTCTTTTTCTCCACATCCTTGTCAACACTTGTTGTTTCTGTTTTTTGATATGGGTCATCCTCATGGACATGAGATGGCATCTCACCATGGTTTTGATTTACATTGCCCTTGTAATAAGTGATGATGTGCATTTTTCCATGTGTCGGTTGGCCATTTTTCATGCTTTTTTTGAAAAAATGCCTAGTTAATGGATCTGACCATTTTTTTGATTGGGTTATTTTTTATTTATTGTTGAATTGTTTCAACTGAGTTTTTTGTAGATCTTGGCTGTTAGCCTCTTGTCAAATATGCAGATGTTTTTCCCATTCAATAAGGTATCTTTTCATTTCAATGATAGTTTCTTTCACTGTGCAAAAGCTCTATAGTTTGATATAGTCACATTTGTTTATCATTGCTTTTGTTTCCCATGCTTTTCCCAAAAACCTCACTGAAGCCTTTATCATGGTGTGTTTTGCCCATGTTTTCTTCTATTTTATGGCTTCAGAGCTTTCTTCCAAGTCTTTAAGAAAAATGTCTTCAGCAGATGCTATTGAGAAAACTAGACCATCATATACAAAAAATGAAACCAGGCCACTATCTCACACTGCACACAAAAATTAACTCAAAATGGATGAAAGACTTGGATATAAAAATTGTTCCCTTTTCAGACAGCTATTGGAGATATCTTCAGATGAGGATTCCGGGTCCCATTAGTTATGTATGTGAGAGCTTCACAGTTTTAAGGCATTTTAATATAGCTAAGATGGCAGTGATGATTTGAATGTAATATATGAGGGAAACTTGTCTCAGGATACAGTATGCTTTCCATGGCTAAGACTACCAGCCAATGAATGAGTAATTGCTTGGGAGTTTGGATGTTAATTCAATTGTTTGTGGCTAGACATCCATCTTTCCCTTTTAGACAGTGGTCCACCTAAGTAGTTGGCAACTGCAAAGGTAAATGTTTGTACTGGTTCCCCCTCCAGGGTTCTGAAGCAGACTCTCATCACACATCTTCCTCTCTGCGTGCAAAGTCCTTGCCCCATGTGAAAGCATGAAACCTTTCAGCCTGTGGCCCAAAACCTTCTAACCCTTTTGCACAAGTATTCAAGGGGCAGGCTATATGATGCCTGGGACAATGCTTTTTTTTTTTAAGACTTTATTTTTATTTATTTATGCATACAAGAACTGTGGTGTAAGCCAAAACTACGGGGGTAGGGGTGGTAAGAGGATTCACCAGAGACAGAGCGGGGAGCAGAACAGGCAGATCGACTGAAATACACTGCTGAGGGGCAGACAGGGGAGACAGGAGAGGTCTGCTGCACCATGTGGGTCAGCTCCCTGGTCAGGGGATCAAACTCATGCTTCAGTGGCTGGTGATAGCTTGATAGTGCTGAGACTTTACCCCTGTGTCACCAGGGAGGCCCTAGGACACTGCTTTTAAGAAACTATTGCCCAGTGCAGTTCTCCAGTGAAAGATGGATAAAATATCAATCACTTAACTGTATATTTAAAAAGTCCTGCTTGAGTCTCGGTTCCTAGTTTTGTGGTCAGGCTCCACTGTGAAACAGACTCTCTACTGTCAGGAGCATTCCTGTCAGTACTTAACAGCTCCTCAGGTGTTGAGTACAGAAATCCAAGTTTCTCTGTACCTCCAGCAACACCTCTGTGCTCCAGCCTTAGTTGACAAAGTTCAATTTTATTGTCTTTTATTTCAATATCCCCCTTTGCAGCAGAGAGTGAATGCTGCTAAGGGCCTCCTCACCATGTGGTCAACCACTGGCTGTCAGGGCACATCTCCCATGCACTGAGGTGAGCAACAGGTTTTCTGTCTCCTGTAGACATGAAGTCAGATCAATCAGCCATGGCAGCACTTGTAACTAAAATGTATTCTCCCCGAACAGTCTCTAGATAATGCCATCTTTTAAATATATCTGAAAGTATTGCACACAATTTCACTTTAAGGCATTATTACAGAAACATCTCTTCCAAATTGTTTGCATACATGTGTTTTCTAAATGCAAATAAGAACTACCCTCATGGGTAAAAAGAGAATATTAATAAAACACTTGTTGAATGCTCATTCTGTGTCAGCTTCCATGCTAAGCACTTTCCAAGGATTGAGTAATGATTTCTCTGAGAAACCCTTTGACACAGGTATCCAGTCCCTCTACTAGTTGAGGGGTAGCACTAGTATTTGTCCTGGGCAGGCTGACTCCAGAGTCCGTGCTCTGCCCTCCGCAGCCTGCTGACCCAGCAGTGCCCACCACTGAGGAGTTGCTATGAGGACTGAATGAGGTAATGTCTAGAAAATGCTTAGCAGTCCTGACAGCTATACCCACGCAACGTGAAGATCTGCTACTATTTGACAGGAGTTCAGTTACCTAAGGGGCTCTGAGGCACTGTGAAGGGGAGGGACTGAGGTAATGTGAACAGAGAGTGGGTATGGGTAGATGGGTCACACTGACTGGAGAAAGGCCTGGTGGTACTCAAATGTCAGGGTGTAGGGGTATCAGGGTTTAGGAGTGTAGAAAGGGGTCACATGAGACTGCATGATGCTGAAGCACAGGCCCTGTATTACAATGAGAAGACTCAAGCTCTGTCCTCCATCCTTCAGATCATCTCGAGGCTTTGCACTCCATTTTCAAAAATGAATCAGAGATCCCCATTCCTGCCTCATGGTCTACCCCACACTGAACTTGCATTTTCTTTAATGGTTTAAAACATTTTTCTGTTGCTTATTCTTGTTTAAAATACCTGTCCTACCTATTTCCTTTTGCAAATAGGGTATCAAAATGTCTGACGTGGGCAGGATGGAGTTGGGCGTGCCTGCAACAGTGCCACTATGTGCTCAGATAGGGCAGCACTGCCTGCACTCACTTGCCACTCACCAACTCTGACAGATCTTGAGACCTATGGGTGTCACAGTTTTTCTCTTGTCTACCCATGTTTGCTTATTCAGCTATAACCTTAAATTTACTTTATCTCCTCATACTCGCTGTAAGTCTACTTTGATATCTCCAGCATTAAAAGCGGACTCCTCTGTGAATTTTAAGTCAGACCTTGAAGTAGAAGCTATCTTTGAAAGTTGAGTCACACAATCCAACTGTGCTATTGCCATCAGCGCAAAGCAGAAGGACCAGGCAGATTCTTTTTCTTTTTTCTTTAATTGAAATATATTTGGCACTAACAGTACACAAATTCAAGGCATACAGTGTGTTACTTTGATAAGCTTGTATATTATGTTTACCACTACACCAATAATTAGCATGTCTTTCATGTTATATAATTATCCCTTCTGTTTAGTAGTTGGAATACCAGTGTCTTAGCAAGTTTGATGATTGTGATGGAATGGAGTAGTCTCCCTTTAGCCACATTTTTGCTTTCTGCAGTTTCAGTTACCCTTGGTCAGTATAGTCAGAAATATTTACAATAACCAAGCTATGGAAACCAAGAGTAGATTAGACAGATGTGCATATATCTAGTGGAGTACTACTTGGCAATCAAAAAGATAAGCTCTCACCATTTGCAACAATGTGGATGCAACTGGAGGGGAATATGCTAAGTGAAATAAGTCAGAAGAGGAAAGACCAATACCAGATGCTGTCACTTTTCTGTGGGTCAGAAAGTCAAACCAATATCAAACCCTAGAAATTTGACTGCAGAACTGAGGCTACCAGAGAGGGACTAGAAAGGGAGAGAACAAAGTGGGATCAGAGCACAGTGGGCTGTGGTGGTGGACTGTCTATGTCTTAGTAGTGGGTGTGGTGTGGTAACAATACCTGAAGGGGTGATCCTATAGCTCTGCCCACCCACAGGGCCACGCACACTGAGAATACTCAATGCTTGCAGAGCAGTCCTCGAGATTAAAACAAACTGAAGTTGGCAGTTTACCCCAAAAAAGGGAGTGAGAGGCAGAGGCAAGAAACTCTCTTGGGTCCCTGGTCTGATTCATCAGATAGACATTTGTGTCTTTTCATATGAAAATAGTGCCCCAGCCCAGCCATCACAGTGTTATTGTGCTATGTGTCATCACTGCGCCAGTCACTGGGAACTCAAGGACAAACAAGGGCACAGCCCTCTCTCTAGGATCTTCCCAAACAGTGTTCTAATAAGTCACCATGCTGTCTCCTCTCTTTGAAGCCAAGTGTATGTTCATAAGGTCAAGGGAAATGAATGACCTGCAAGACAAATTGGGGATGATGCTCTGCAGTTTCTGCTGATGTTTTATTTGGTGCTGGTGGTTTAAATGTTATAAGATTGATACTTCAACAGTAGCCAGTGAGGAAATAGTTTTGGTGTCCTCATGGATATGACTCACATGACACACCAAAAACTGCTTAGAAATGTCTCAGTTGCAGGCCTCCCTGGTGATGCAAGGGGTTGAGCACTGCATTATGAGGTGGTCCGCAGCCTCTGCAGCACGAGTTCGATCCCTGGCCAGCCAGGGAGCAAGCAACCCACATGAAAAGGTAGACTTCTCCTGTCTCGCCCGCTGCTCCCCTCAGCAGTGTACTTCAGTTGGTCTGCCTGTTCTGTTCCCCACTCTGTCTCTGGTGGGTCCTCTCACCCCCCACATCTCTGACCTGTTCCCCAGCTCTTGCATGAATAAGTAAATCCTTTAAAAAAAAAAAAAAAAAGAAAAGAAAAGAAAGAAATGTCTCGATTGTTCTGTCTAGAACAAATCCAAAAATTTTCAACCTTTGGAAACAAGGCAAATTTGTTTGATAGAGTCAAGTAATCAGACCTTAGAGAGTGTCCAGCATAAACCTTAATTTTGCAAATGAGGAAGTGGGGCCAGAATTGGGGAGCTAAGGGACTTGCCCCAAACACACAGATGGTTGGGGCAGAGGGTTCACTCACTTTCCTGACAGATCTACACCAAGTTCACTTCAAAAGTCACTAAAATTATTTCCAAAAATATTCAGAGAAATATGCTGATTATTGGCCTATAATTGACCTTTAAAGGGACTGAGGCACATTTAGGAGACAGTCTTTGGAAGGTGTCTTTAAGAAGAATACTGAGGCCTTGCAGAGTTCCTGTAGAGCACCAGTATGAGTGGCCTTCATCCTGACCCCTTGAGCCCCTGGGTCCATCAGAAATTGACTTCTGGGCCTCCACAGTGGTGCAGCAGTTGAGCGCTGGGCTGCAAAGCTGACCGCAGCCTCTGCAGCGCCGGTTCGACCCCCCACCACCGGCGAGGGTCCCACATGGCGCGCAGACCTCTCCTGCCGCGCTCACTACTCCCCTCAGCAGTGTACTTTGATCCTTCTGCCTGTTCTGCTCCCTGCTCTGGCTCTGGTGAATTCTCTCACCCTCCCGTGCTTCTGACTGCACCCAGTGCATGTATAAATAAATAAATAAATCTTTAAAAAAAAGAAAGAAAGAAAGAAATTGACTTCTCCTAGCCCATGACAGAATCAGTCTTCACACATTAGTGTTCTAGAGTATGCTTCTGATTAACTCATTTCTTTTAAAATGAGTTAAACTATGATTCAACAAAGAAACAATGCTAATAAGAATACAATCTTATCATCATAAATCATAAGCTTTGAAGTTTTGTTTCTTTTTTTTTAACTTAATTCTCATGGACCCCAAAACATGCTTCCCCAACTACCTCCATCAAGACTAAGGAACCCAGGGGTCACTGGGGAGTTGACTTCACAGAATCTTTCCCATAAGTTCCCTCCTCTTCGGTTCTCCTCACCCTGTCAGATCGTTGGGCAGATGTGTCTCCAGATCTTTGACAGGTGGAAGACCAAGGCAGTGATTACAGAACAAGTTCAGTGCCTTTAGTTTCCCCGGGGTTCTGCTTGCTTCTCCTGTTTCCCATGAATGTTAATAGCGCTCCACCACAGCACCTGTCACATGGAAGACACTGAACAATCATGGAATTAAAGCTCCATAAGGGAAAATACAATTTCATTCTGCTTGTTTAAAATCTCATGTTCTTGAAGTAGCCCATCTTATCCAATAACTATTGTGCATTTCATTTTCATCATGTGGAAACATGATTTCCTAGGTGCTTCAGGAGAAAAGGGCTCAAAGGGGGGAATTTTTTTAATTAGGAAATAAAATAGACTATTAATGAATGATTGCTATGAAAGAGATATTTTGGTATGAAATTATTTGGGATGTGCTAAATGTCCGTACCTCTTTGTTCTTTCTTTCAGAATGTTAGAAGATGACCTTAAGCTAAGTAGTGATGAAGAAGAGAATGAACAGGTAAGATTCTCTTTTGTGGTGCTGTTCTTTGAATGTGACCTGATGCTGCTGACCTCAGGAACATTCCTGGATATTAACTGAGTTGTACAAACTGGGAATTGTGGTGCTGGAAGATGCTGGGTGTCCTCTGCTAATGGAGAGTCTAGGCTGTTGGACCAGTTCATTAAAAATTATCCTGACTTTAATTTCCCTTAAAACTGTATTTCTGTGATTTTCATGGCATTGACACCAATAATGGGTATTTATAAGAAGTTCCCTGGAATCCTGCTTCAGTATGAAATAGAGGCGTGTGTGTGTGCATGTGCACACATGCGTGTGTTTGTGTGTGTGTGTGTGTGTGTGTGTGTGTGTAAGTAAAGGTAACTGTCCTTCTGGAGATCAAACGTTTGATCTTAACCTCATCAGCATGCAACAGCAAGCTGTAACATTAAATATTGAGAAGTCTTATACAGATATTATTAACTTTGAGGAGAAGCAAACACAGAGGTGAGCTAAAATGATGAATAAAAAATAATCATGCTCAAAATAGGTTGTTTGTCTTAAATGATAGATATGCTTGAAATGTTCTCCCTTGGTGTTGATTTATCAGCTCAAGACATCAGTCAGGGGTTTATAAATACTCTTCTGATCAGTTAGTTAATGTAAAAAAACATCCACTTAACATTCATCACTTTCACTTCTGCATTTCAGGAACTGTTTGTATTTTAAAGCAAGTTTGAAAACAGTAAAGACAGATTTTCCTACACTTCTGTTTCCTTTTTATCATCTCTGTGTTATATTTTGTCAAGTCTGGATAGATGTGACAGGTCTAAAGACAATTCAGAGAGGGTTTTTTTATGTCACTTTTACATGCAATACAAGTCACTTGTACTATTAAGTTGATCTTAGAATAGTACATTTTATATGAGGGTTTCCTGGAATATTATTCAGGTGATTCAGCTGTCTAGACATGCAGATGCTAATAATGTACGGAAAGGATGTACAGAGGTGAAATCAAAGTCACAGGAAAATATCCTGGAAAAGTGTCTGTACAGGATGTGGATAAGAGGTCACAGAAGGGTTGTTCACCTCTTGAGAGAAGGTGAGGCAACAAAGAAGGGACTGGGCGTGAGACAGAACTTGATAACTCTGGAACAGGATTGGCAAGTCGAGAAAACCCACGTAGAGGAAGGTTAACTGAGAGAAAGGCTAACCTTTCAGGCCTTACATTTTTCAAAATCAGTCAATGTGTTTCGAGGTGTTCACAGGGCCGTCAGATATCTATCACAAGCAATCTTGGCTAACTAGAAAATGACTTTGCTCTTAATTTTGGTTCCTCATCTGTGTGACTATAAGCACACAGTGATTTTATCTCTGTGTTTTTCCCAAGAGGTTCAGATAGGTATGTTTTGGATTAAGCCATACCAAGTGTGTACATTGTGCATACTTTATATTATAAATGGGATCCAAAAGCTCTTTCATTCAGCAAGTCTTTCTTAATATGGAAATAATTTCCTGAGTTATTTCCAAGAAATATTTCCACTGAATATTCGATCTAAAATATATTTATCAATGGTGCACTCTACACACTCTGTAAGGCAGTGGGAACTTTTAGTTGACTCATTTTACTTCCTGTAGCCATTGATTTTATATTTGAATATATAGGTAAGATCCTTTCTACTTGCATTTGGTCCATATGTGTATATACCTTCCCATCTTTTGTAATAAAAGCAGATGGCAGAATGAATTATTTTCATGCTGTAATCCTTTCTCTGAAACAGGATTCCAGACAGTGGTTTTGTATGTGTTAGTTTAAGTGCGCACTCCTAAAACATTAATTATATTAAGTTATCCTGCTTTAGCCTATAATTATACTGTGCCCTAATCAAAAAATTGTAATTCCCATGCATTCTAATGACTAATGATACAGTATTTATTTCCTCCCCAAGACGAGAATATGATTCACCCTTCTCCCTGAAAGAGGAGAGGCTATGTACACAAGTAACACACATAAACTCACTACATTTCTCTAGTATTGTGAGATAAACATTTAACATGAATGATCTTTCTAGTTCTAATAACCCAAAATATTTCAAAAATGTATAGTTCCCTTGGGCCTCCCCTGGTGGCGCAGTGGTTGAGCGCTGGGTTGTGAGGCTGCCCGCAGCCTCTGCAGCACCAGTTCAATCCCCGGCCACCAGCGAGGGTCCCACCAAAAAAAAAAAAAAAAAAAAGTACAGTTCCCTGTCTCGATAAACATAGTGTCCTAAACCTCTTATCCTCTTTTTACATGAGTCCTGGTCATGCTTCTGAATTTGAGTCACTAGACTGTGCAGCCAGTATAACAAAGAGCTGTTCACAAGAGCTTCAGGTTGCTCCATTTATTTGCCCTTCCTGGAATATGCCTAATATCTTTATTCGTATTACCCTTGTGCTCTCAAAGATAAAAAGACAGGCTAGTTTAGTGAGTAAGAGCTCAGACTCAGCAGTCCTTCTCCTTGGATTCGAATCCCTACTCATGTCCCTCCAAAGCTCTACTGCCAAGTAGTTTTGCAGCTGACTCAGTCCCTGAACTGTTCTCGGCTTCAGTGTCACTATTTGTAATGGGAATTAATGTTAGGTCCCCAGAGCTGACTACTTGCTCAGAACTAGTGCTTACTTGTTATCTTCATATCACCTGATCCAATAGGGTTTTGTTCTTTTTCAACAACATTGAATTTAGCATACATAGAGAAAAGTATATGTATCCTAAGAATACATCTTAATAAATATCCATAAGCCACACAAGCCCATATTATCAGCACCTAGAGCCAAATACAGTCAGTTCTCTCTTGAGTCCTTCCAGTCATCACTCCCAGAAGAATAACCATTCTCCTGGTTACTAACACCAATAATTTTGCTTGTTTTTGAGCTTTATAATGGAAGCAGACAGTGTATATCTATATTCTGTTGTTTCTATCTTCTTTTGCTTAGATGTTTGTAAGACTCATCCATGTTGCTCATGTCATTTTCACTGCTGAATCATATTTCACTATGTGGATATACCACAGTTTACTTACACATCCTACCACTGATGTGGGCACGGGTGTATTTAGGGCTATTAGAATAATGCTGTTCTTAACATTCTCATACAAGAGTAGGAAGGCTGGGCCACAGAGTATGTGGTATTCAATTGTGAGTAATTACCACTTTCCAAAATAACTGTATTATGGACACTCCCACCAACAATGTAAGAAAATTCTGGTTCTGCCACATCTTCACCACGTTTGTCTTTTTATGTTTATGAATTTTTAAAGTTTGCTCTTTTGGCATTATCTTTATCTGGTTTTGATATAAGGGCAATACTTGCTTATAAAATGAATAAAAAACATTCCCTACTCTTTTCTTGAAGAGATTGTGTGAAATGAAAATTCTTTAGATGTTTGGCAAAATTTGGCAGCCCAGTGAAACCACGTGGGCTTGGAGATTTTAAAAATTTGCAAATTCTGTTTTCTGAATAGTTAAAGGGTCAATCATAATATCTGTTTCATATCAGGTAGGTTCTAGTTGGATGTCCTCTTCAAGCAATTAGTCTATCAGGTCACTTAAGATGTCATATGTATGTATGTGAAGTTGTTCAATAGTATTTTTTTTATGTCTGGAAGATCTATAGAGATATCCCTGTGTTGTGATTGATGCTGATCCTTGATTTTTGTCATTGTCAATGTTGTCAAAGATTTATCAACTATTGATCTTTTTGAAGAGTTAGAATTTTATTGTATTGATAAAATCAGTTTTGAATTTCATTGATTCCTTACCTTCATTATCCCCCTCCTTGTGCTTGCTTCGGGTACAACTTGTTGTTCTACTTTTTTGAGAGAGCTTACATTATTGTTATAAGGCTTGTCCTCTTCTATAATATAAGCATTACTGCTATACTTTTCACTTTCAGCCAAGCAAGTGTCTACATCCCATAAATTTTAAGTATGTTGTATTTCCATTAACATTCAATGAAACCTTCTCTTTGACACACAGATTACTTAGAGGTCACTTCCTGGTGGAGATTTCTCTAACCTTTTCATTGATTTCTAGTTTGCTTCCTTTGTAGTCAAAGTATATATACTCTGTATGATTTCAATTCTCATAAATTTATTGCATGTTTCTTATGACCAAGATATAGTCTATGTTGGTATTTGTTTTTTGGTTTTTGTTTTTTTTTTAATTTTAATTTTTTTATTTTTATATTCCCCAAACAATTGCAACCTCTTTATTTTGACCCCAATCCCTCCCCCCCCCCCCCCCCCTCCCCTCATAAAGTGTCTCTGGTTCATAGTTGTTTGTTGATTATGATTTTCACTTTCTTATAGATATTCATTTTCCTGGTCCCTTATTTAAGTTTTCTAGATTCCTGCTATAGTGAGACCATCTGATATTTTTCTTTTTCTTTCTGGCTTATTTCGCTGAGCATGATCCCTTCCAGCTCCATCCATGCTGCTGCAAATTGCATGTGTTTATCTTTTTTGAATGCTTAGTAATATTCCATGGTGTATATGTACCACATCTTCTTGATCCAGTCATCTATTTTTGGGCATTTGGGTTGTTTCCAAAGCTTAGCTATTGTAAACAATGCTGCTATAAACATAGGGGTACAGGTGCTCTTTGGAGTTGATGTTTCTGTGTCCTTTGGGTAAATACCTAGGAGTGGAATTGCTGGATCATATGGAAGCTCTATCTTTAGTAGGTCAAGAAATCTCCACACAGCTCTCCATAGTGGTTGGACCAGTTTGCACTCCAACAGTGCAGGAGAGTTCCTTTTTCTCCACAACCTTGCCATATGTTGGTATTTGTTTTATGGGTATATTCTGTTGATATTGAGTGTGGTGTTCCATAAATGTTCATTTTGTTTGTCGATGTTGATGATGAGTTATTATGTATTCTTGCTTTCTATCTAGTTGTTCCATCCAATTGTTGAAAGAGAAATATTGAGAGAGGAATCTGATTGTAATTATGAATTTGTCTCTCTCCTTTCTATCCTATCAGGT